GTCTCTGGCCACTCTGGCAGCCGACAGACGAGAGGAGTTGGGTTTACTCCCCGCTCCACTATAGCGCTCAGCTCCACTCTGTCTCCGATGAGGAGAGCGATACAGTAAGTGTCCAACAACGCTGTGCCGGTGCCCGGTGGGTCGAGCTCGGAGCTTGTGCTCCCTCTGCAAGGTCAGCCTGGCCTCTGGCAGCGTGGGGCTCCTGCATGGCTGCAGCAGAGCCCTGGCCTGCTCAGCGAGGGCTGTGGCTTTTCCCAATCATTCGGTGCAGGGAAAGCTTCGGGGAGCTGAGGTTTTCCAGTCAGGTTGTCGTTGCTGGAGGATGTGGAACAGCCTCTCTCCCTGTGCTGATTGTGCTGGGGAGATGGTGGGGCACAGACCTGACTGACGTGGGGCAGTTAACTCTCTTGCCCCTCATGACAAAGAAGACATTGAGGGGCTGGATGTGTCCAGAGAAGGGAAGGGGCAGGAGCAGCTGAGGGAGCTGGGGGGGCTCAGCCTGGAGAAAAGGAGGCTCAGGAGGGACTTTCTTGCTCTCTCCAACTCCCTCACAGGAGGGTGGAGCCAGGTGGGGGTCAGGCTCTGCTCCCAGGGACAGGACCAGAAAAATACGGCCTCAAGCTGTGCCAGAGGAGGTTTAGGTTGGATATTAGAGAAAAATTCTTCATGGAAGCGGTTTCAAGCCCTGGCACGGGCTACCCAGGGCAGTGGTGGAGTCACCATCCCTGAAGTGTTCTGTGTGTGGCACCTGGTGACATGGTACAGTGGTGAACATTGTTGTGGTGCTGGGTTAACAGTTGGACTGGATGACCCTGGAGGTCTTTCTCCACCGTAACAGTTCCGTGGTCCTGTGACTCTCCTCTCTCTGCCTCTTGCAGTAATCTCTATGCAGACACAGAAGTCCCAGAGAGCAGCGATTCCCTCTGCAGGTCGATGTGTTCCCTTTTCGTTGATGCAGCCGTTCCAGTGGGATGGGGAAGAGCTTGCTGGCTCCAGTATTGCTGCACTGCAGGACCCCGGGCACTGCGTTTCAGGACGGAACAAAACTATAACCGTGTATTTCTACTCACCCCAGACGTGGGCAGCAAAGAAACCACCCGCTCACCCGCAGCTCCCGGCAGAGAATTCCAAGCTGGGTGTAGAGAATCCTGGGTAGTAACACAGTGTTTTCCAGACGTGCACTACCGTAGCTACCTATCCATGTGTGATACTGTGAACCTTTTTAATTTTTTAATCATGTATTTATTTCTTTTATCTTTGCACAGAGACAGCACAAGTGTGCTTTTTTAAACATTTAGTTTACTGCACTTTTTTTTTTTTTTTTTCTCCATATATTTGTGCATCAGAAAGGAGCGCGAGACCTCACCGGAGAAGGGGTAGGAGCACGTTGCTGGGGAGGGCAGGGACAGGAGTGGCTTCATTAGAGGCAGCAGCGTGGTCTGACCAACTGAGGGAGTCAGGAGGTTTAAGGCTGTCCAGACTCTGCCACGGTTTTGCTGAGTGACCCAAGGCGAGTCACTTAAACCACTCTGTGCCTCGGTTTCCCCCGTGCTGATGGGTGTACAGTACCCACGTCGTTACAGCACTTAAACCCTGGGATGAAAGGTGCTATGAAAATGCAATGTATTAAAGGCCATGGAATAGAATTACTCCCACGTTACCACAGTCCAAAGTAGCCATGCCAACTCACTTGGATCCAAACTCTCTCGTGACTTCTCCCGTCTGTGACACTGTGCGGGGGCAGCGCACGGCTCCTGCCGACAGTGACGTGGACTCGGCTCTCCCTGGACGTCGTGCTGGGCTCTGCCTTCCCCCTGTGCTGCACTGCTGCCTCACCCCTCCCTCTGTGCTTGGAGTCCACGCTTCATCCGACCGGCTCTGCCTGCTCCGGACCCGCGGGCACGGACAGACGGGAACTGGGCACCTCCCAGGCCTGGCCATGCTGGAGGATGAGCTCCCTGCTCTGCCAGGCCCACGTGGGGCTCGTCTGGACGCTGATCCTCCTGGAGCCACTCAGCCCTCCACGTGCTCGTGCGTGTATCCCGGCTCACCCATCCCATCCCCTCCGCTGCTGGGGCAGGCAGGGAGGCGCGGGCACGGCCGCACCCGCTGGAGGCAGAAGAGGCGTTGCCACAGAACTGTGCCGGCACTGCTGTGCTCGGGGACTCTGCTGGACAAAAAGCCGTGTGACTGGGGCGTTGCCTGGGGTCACGTCTGCTGGTGGAAATCACTGCTGCAGGTGTCTGAGAGGGTTTGCTTTGCGGGGGCCGTAGGTGAGAGGGTTTCGGTGTCACGGGGTGGTGTTAGGGCTCATCCATCAGCAGGACACACACCACAGCGTTGTCTGGAATCCAGCAATCCCATCCTCATCTCCCAGAGAGAAGACAGGATGTCCTTTAGGCCAGAGGGAGCCAGGTCTTGTTCGTGTGCTTTATGAACCTCGCTTGAGAAAGAGGGTCAAAATCTCTTTATTCCCATTACAATCTTCACTGTCCTCGGGATTCCTTGTAGAGGGGTGGGGAATTGGGACCCTGCTCTCGGTCCCCCAATCTGTGTTCACAGCAGCACTCGGGAGGGGTTAAGTTGGGTCCCAGAAGGTAGCTGGGCTGGTGGGAAGCTCTTTCCTCTGCACTGTGCTGGACTTGGTGAGGATCTTCAGGAACTGACGTTTTCTTGCTGGAATACGGGACCTGGACTTCCCTGCCCTGCCTGCGGACGCGGAAGGTTGTGCTTGTCGGGAGCACAGCCGGGGGATCGTGCAAGCTGCTGCTGTTCCATGTATCCATGTATTTACCAAATAGTCTATCAAAAGTCTCTCAAGAAACTTTCCCCTTTCAGTTGCTGCTTGACAGCTCGTTCTCACGGCTGCAGCTCCTGCCCCCTCCCACCTGGGGGGCTCTGCAGGCTTTGGGGTGGGGGGCTCAGGGGTTGGTGGAGGGGACATGGGAGCAGTTCAGTACCTGCAGCCTCATCTGCCTTTGGGCTCAAGGCAAGAGGCTTCAGAAAGCTAAAAATTTAACCTCCTTTTACTCCAGCAGCGTGTGTAGAATGGCCAGAGGGAGCTGCTGCTGCTGGTGGGTGCTGTGCTGGAGGAGGGGGCTCGGGGCAGGGGGAATTGGGGTGGGCTCAGGATGTCTGACCGGCTCCCCTGGGATCACCTCAGTCAGGGGCTGGAGGGTGTGGCCTCATGGGGACTTTCCAGCCAGCTGAAATCAAGCACCTTGGTGCAGATGCTGTAAGAATCACTGGTGGGGGCTTTACTCCTTCCCCTCCTTTTGGGGCTCTCCAAAGCTGCTTGGGCTCTGTGCTGGGAGTGTCCCAGCTCCGACTTCCTTGAGTGCCCCAGAGAATGAGCTTTGTGAGCTGGAGCTGTGTTTGGTCCCAAGAGAGGGGGTGAACCCAGAGCTCCTGCAGCACATGAGACAATCCCCGTGCAGTTCCATAATGCATAATCCAGTCCCTTTGGAGCAGGAGGTCTGGACAGGGAGGGTTGGTCTTGTGGGAGGACAGGCAAAGGCTTTAGAGCAGCTTTGTCACCGGGCGGGGACAAGGAGGAACCTTCCTTCAGGGAGATGCTGATCTGAAACACAAACTGCCCCTGTCCAGGCTGGCACAGCCCCTGCTCTGTGTCACCTCCTGTCCAGCAGCTCAGTGCTGGGGAGCTGCTCAGCCTCTGCTTTCCCTGGAGGCTGGAAGGACCTTGGATTGTAAAGCTTGATCTCAGCCCCTGTCAGTGCACCAGGAGCTCTGGGGCACATCACAGGCACTGTCGGTGCTGCCTGGGCAGGAACAGGTCCTGCCCATAGGGAAAAGCATCAGCCCTTTTTGGGGAGGAGAATCCACACCCACCCTTGGTCTGAATGTTCCTCCAGCTGCACTCCAGCTCGTCCTGCACTTGAGTTGCCCGTTCTGTGTCAGGGCTCTCTCTGGTGACCTGGCAGGTGCTGTCCCTGCTCTCCATCGTTAAAGGAGGCACCAGGGTCTTGTACCCCAAGATTTGAGCCCCACAGAGCAGCCCCTTCCCACGCAGAGCTGTGGCCTCCGTACCACCACTCTCCTCCATCCCCATCGGGCTCTGTGGGACACGTCCTGACGATTGCCTGGGGCCGAGGCTGCAGATGATTTCTCCCTGCCAGGTTCGGGGCTGGCAGGAGAAAATGGGCACCTGTGTCTCTGGGTTTGCTGTCCTGTCTGGATTTGCCTCCTGGTGAAGGCTCTGGGGCAGAGCCAGGAGCTGGGGCAGAGACCCTGAACACCCACAGAGGGGCCCCACCCTGGGCTGCCGCTGCCCCTCCTCGGGGGCACCAGTGGAACGGCCCCGGGGGTGTTCGGTGAAAGCAGAGCCGGAGCAGGCACAGCCGTTCGCAGGCTCCGGCCCCCCGGCCCCTTCTCGTTCCCAGCCGCTGCTCCAGCGCTGCCTCAACGGGCGGGGACAAAGCCAGGGCGGAGTGTCCTGGGTCCCGTCTGAGTTTTCTTTCTGTCCCTGTTCCCCCTGTCCCCCCGTGACTCCCCGCTCCCACGTGTTTCCCTGGGCATGTCCCACGGGATGTCCCTGTCCCATCCGTGTCTGTCCCAGTGGCTGTCCCTGTCCCACGGGATGTCCCCGTCCCCACGCGTGTCGCGGAGCCGGTGTCGGGGGTGTTGTCCCATCTCCGCTCCGGGGACTCAAAGCCCGGGCGCGGTTTTCCTTCTCGTGGTTGTTTTAAGGGTGTTTCCCCTCCCTCTCCGCGGAACCCTTTCCCCAGAGACCCGCAGCCCGTGCCGCGCTCCCCACCCCCTCCGAACGCCGCGCAGGGCCCGGCACCTTTTGGGGCAAAAGCGGCCGGAATGGGGACAGGCGGGACAGGCCCCGCCCCCTCCCGCGCGGGGCTGCCCCACCGCCCGCCTGTCCGCGCCGGCGCTGCGCGCGGGGCGGGGCGGGCTCAGGCGCGCATTGGGCAGCCCCGAGCGGCGAGGCCCCGCGAGGTCCCGGGGCGGAGCCGCCGCCGCCGCCGCCGCCGATGGGTTCCGGTACGGGCAGCGCCGGCCGGGACCGGGACCGGGATCGGGATCGGGACAGGGATCGGGACAGGGATCGGGACAGGGATCGAGATCGGGACAGGGACAGGGACCGGGAGCGCTCCGGGAGCCGCGGAAGGCGCCGGCGCAGCCGGAGCCGCAGCCGCAGCCGCAGCCGCAGCCGTAGCCGGGAGCGCCGCCGGGAGCCGAGCTCAGGGTGAGTGGCGATCGGGCCTGGAGCGGCTGTGGCGCGTTTGGTGGGGAGCGGGGCTCGGTATGTCGGGGCTCGGTGTGCCGGGGGAGCCGAGGCCCGGGGGGCCCGAAGCGGCCTCGGTGCCGCCGGGCTCGGGCAGGGCCGGGGCAGCGGCACCGGGGCCGGTGGGTCCCCAGGGCTGCCCGTGACGCCGGCCGGGGCAGGGCCGGTATCGCGGCTGTGCCGGCGCTGCCGCTGCCCGGGCCAGGCCCGGCAGTGCCCGCCTTCCCTGACACCCGGCTGTGCCGCCGCAGCTCCGACTCCGGGGGCGAGAGACAGAAATGGAAGAAGAAAAAGAAGAGCAGCGGCAGCCGGGACCGGGACCGGGACCGGGACCGGGAGCGGGAGCGGGAGCGGGACCGGCCCCGTAAGGAGCGGAGGAAGCATCGCTCGCGGTCCCGGGGCCGCTCGTCTGGCTCCAGCCCCGAGCGCGGCCGGAGCCGGGAGCGCAGCCGGGAGCGCCGCAGGAGAAGGGATGGATCCAAGTCCTCCGTGTCCTCCGTCAGCTCCGCGTCCCCGGCCCGGCCCCGCGGCCGCGAGGAGCCCGAGCAGACCCTGAGCCTGCAGGAGCGGCTGCGGCTCCGGGAGGAGAAGAAGAAGCAGGCGGCGCTGCTGAAGGCGCTGGAGACGCCCGAGGAGAAGAGGGCCAGGAGGTTGGCCAAGAAGGAGGCCAAGGAGAGGAAGAAGCGGGAGAAGATGGGCTGGGGGGAGGAGTACATGGGATACACCAACACCGACAACCCCTTCGGGGACAACAACCTGCTGGGCACCTTCATCTGGAGCAAGGTGAGCTCTGCCCTGTCCCTGTGGCTGAACAGAGCAGGGCAAGAGCGGGTGGGGGGTCGGGGGGACCTGTGACTGAGGTGGGGGCTGTAGCTGAGGGCTTGGATGGACGAGGTGGGGCAGGAGTAGGAGCTGCAGGCTGAGTGCTGGGCGTCTCCTGGAGCAGGGACACAGAGATGGTAACTGGGATGGAGCATTTCTTCTGTGAGGAATGACTGAGACCTGGGGATGTTCAGCTTGGAGAAGGGAAGGCTCTGGGGAGACCTTCGAGCCCCTTCCAGTGCCTGAAGGGGCTCCAGGAGAGTTGGAAAGGGACTTGGTACAAGGGATGGAGGGACAGGACACAGGGAATGGCTTCCCACTGCCAGAGGGCAGGGAGAGATGGGAGATTGGGAAGGAATTCTTGGCTGTGAGGGTGGGGAGGGGCTGTCCCAGGTTTCCCAGAGCAGCTGTGACTGACCCATCCCTTGAAGTGTTCAAGGCCAGGTTGGACAGGAAGCCACCTGGGCTGGTGGAAGGTGTCCCTGCCCGTGGCAGGGGGTGGAACAAAATGAGCTTTAATGTCCCTCCTAACCCAAACCATCCATGATTCTATGATACAGCTGTGCTGGCACACGCCTTGCCAGGCTGGGTGGGCTCCTGGGCTGAGCCTGGGTTTGCTGAGGGGCTTCAGGAGCAGGATTTGAGGGATTGGATTTGGGGACCTTTGACAGGATCAGAGTTCACAGGAGCAGCAGAAGCAGGTGGATGTGGTGGCATTTGCTGGCCAGTGAGGGGCTGTGATGGCCCTTGGGTTTCACAGCTTCCCTTGGCCACTCTGTTTCAGGCACTGGAAAAGAAAGGGATCAGCCACCTGGACGAGAAGGACCTGAAGGAGAGGAACAAGCGAATCCAGGAGGACAATCGTCTGGAGCTGCAGAAGGTGGGGTAGGATGTCCCTCCATCCCCCTGTCTGATGGAGAGCCCTGGGGACAACCTGGTTGTCCCCCTTACTCACCAGGAAGTCCCCTTGTTCTATTCCCGGGGAGTGTCCATAGGTTTAGGACTGGGGGGGGGGGCACAGCACCCTGGCTACTCCAATCTGAGAAATCTCTTGCCTTGGGGTTGAGCCCAGCTCAGGAGGTGCTGAGGGGGACGGTGCCAGGTCCCTTCACATCCACAGCCACCTCACAGCCCCCTCACCCCGGGCAGGTGAAGCAGCTGCGCCTGGAGCGGGAGCGGGAAAAGGCCATGCGGGAGCAGGAGCTGGAGATGCTGCAGCGGGAGAAGGAGGCAGAGCACTTCAAAACCTGGGAGGAGCAGGAGGACAACTTCCACCTGCAGCAGGCCAAGCTGCGGTAGGTGTGCGGCTGCTCGGGGCCGGGCCTGGCAGGGAGCAGAGGATGGCACCGCTCAGTGTCACTCACTCTGTCCCCCTGCCCCTCTCCCAGCTCTAAGATCCGGATTCGGGATGGGAGGGCAAAACCCATCGACCTCCTGGCCAAGTACATCAGTGCCGAGGACGACGACCTGGCCGTGGAGATGCACGAGCCCTACACCTTCCTGAACGGCCTCACCGTGTCCGACATGGAGGACCTGGTAGAGGACATCCAGGTGCCAGCCCTGCTCCTCTGCCAGGGCTTCCTCCCCAGCTCTGCTTCCCTGCCCTGGTGTGGGGCAGCTGCCTGAGGCCTGGCTTGTCTCCTGCCTGCAGGTGTACATGGAGCTGGAGCAAGGGAAGAACGTGGATTTCTGGAGGGACATGACCATCATCACGGAGGACGAGATAGCCAAGCTCCGCAAGCTGGAGGCCTCTGGGAAAGGGGGCCCAGGTGAGCAGTGTGGGTGTCAGGGGGAGTGTGAGTGGAGGGTGACACAGGGTATAGGGTCTGTGGCACGTGCTCGGGCTCAGAGGGGCTCTCTGGGAAGGCTGTGGGTCTGGCAGCTGTCCCTGGCTGGGATCCAGCATCCCGCTGTCAGGAGGGCCAGGATGAAGGTCAGTGAGTGCCCACAGACTGACCAGCTGCCCTCACCTGCCCAGGGGAGCGCCGGGACGGTGTCAACGCCTCGGTGAGCTCGGATGTGCAGTCGGTGTTCAAGGGCAAGACGTACAACCAGCTGCAGGCGCTGTACCAGGGCATCGAGAGCAAGATCCGAGCGGGAGGGCCCAACCTGGACATCGGCTACTGGGAGAGCCTCCTGCAGCAACTGAAGGCTTACATGGCTCGGGCCAGGTGAGGGCAGGGGCTGGGGGTGGCACAGACCCCACTGTGCGCAGAGCTGGGGAGGTACAAACCCAGTTGTTGGTGGGGGTTTATACCTTTTCCGAGGTGGCTGGTTCCCAGGAGGGGAGCAGGGCTGGACACTTTCTCCAGTGATGATGTTCACAGTGAGGTCTCCAAGAGGGGACCAAACTGGGGGTTATTCAGGCCGGAAAACCATCTGCGCCCAGCGGGTTTCTGCCCGCTGTGATGGGTGTCACAGCTCTGGGCTGTGGGTTCTGCTGGGTGGGACGCGATGGCTCCTCTTCTCTCACAGGCTGCGGGAGCGGCACCAGGACGTGCTGCGGCAAAAGCTCTACAAGCTGAAGCAGGAGCAGGGTGTGGAGAGTGAACCGCTCTTCCCCATCATCAAGCAGGAGCCAGCCTCCCCCAGCGACAGGTGAGCAGCCCTCTCCTTGGAGCACTGCCCTCTCCTTGGAGCACTGCCCTCTCCTTGGAGTGGAGCACTGCCCTCTCCTTGGAGCACTGCCCTCTCCTTGGAGCACTGCCCTCTCCTTGGAGTGGAGCACTGCCCTCTCCTTGGAGCACTGCCCTTTCCTTGGAGCCCTCCAGACCTCTCTTGTGGGACCCCCTGCGTGGAAAGGCAGCCTTGTGCTCCCACCCTTCCCCAGGCAGGGCTCAGGTGAACTGAGAACGAGGGTACCATCCCCGTCCCAGTCCTCTCTTCTCCCTTCCATGCAGGCTGGATCCTGAGGAGAGCCTTGAGGCACAGCCAGGGCCATCCTCGGAGCCGGAGGCGGAGCAGGACACGGAGGCCAAGGGCGAGGGGGAAGGGGAGGCCGTGCTGATGGAGGAGGATCTGATCCAGCAGAGCCTGGACGATTACGACGCGGGCAAGTACAGCCCCCGCCTGCTGGGCCCCAACGAGCTGCCCTTCGACGCCCACGTGCTGGAGGCCGAGGAGGACACGCACCGGCTGCTGCTCCTGCGCCAGCAGCTCCAGGTGACAGGTGAGCCCCAGGGCAACCTGCCCAGTGTGGAGGGTGTGCAGGGCTGGAGGGGACAGTGCCCTCAGGAAAGGGTGAGCTGGAGCTGGCACCCAGAACTGGCCTAGCAGAGGGGTTCCCCCCAGAGCAAAGAGTGATGGGCAGGAGCAGGGAGGTGGGACTCAGGGTGCTGGTGGTCCCTATGGGGACCTGCCTCAGCACCACCAGGGCATTTAGGGGCAGACAGGTGGGAGGAGTGTTTTGGATGAGTTTTCCAGCACAACTCAGTCCGGTACCCTGTGGGAGTCCCCAGGGCAGTGTGTGCATCCCCATGTCCAGCTCTGCATACCCTGCCCAAACTCCTTCCCCCCGTGTGCCCAGTGCGTGTCCCGCAGCACCGCAGGATCCCACATTCACCTCTCCTCCCCCGCAGGCGACGCCTCGGAGAGCACCGACGACATCTTCTTCCGCAAGGCCAAGGAGGGCATGGGCGCGGACGAGGCTCAGTTCAGCGTGGAGATGCCGCTCACGGGCAAGGCCTATCTCTGGGCTGACAAGTACCGGCCGCGCAAGCCCCGCTTCTTCAACCGCGTCCACACGGGCTTCGAGTGGAACAAGTACAACCAGACCCACTACGACTTCGACAACCCGCCCCCCAAGATCGTGCAGGGCTACAAGTTCAACATCTTCTACCCCGACCTCATCGACAAGCGCTCGACACCCGAGTACTTCCTGGAGGCCTGCCAGGACAACAAGGACTTCGCCATCCTGCGCTTCCACGCGGGGCCGCCCTACGAGGACATCGCCTTCAAGATCGTCAACCGGGAGTGGGAGTATTCCCACCGCCACGGCTTCCGCTGCCAGTTTGCCAACGGCATCTTCCAGCTCTGGTTCCACTTCAAGCGTTACCGTTACCGCCGGTGAGGGGCTGCTGAGCACCCCCCGGACTCCTGCCGGGGGTCTCTTCCCCCGGCACAGACATTGTCCCCTGGATGTCCCCAGGGCCTGGCCCAGCACAGGGCATATTCCTGCAGCTTTTCCCTGTCCTTGCCTTTATCCTGAGGGACCCTGAGACTTTGTTATAAATAAAATAGGGGTTGTTTTAGCTGTGGGATCCTGGGCATGGGCACCACCACTGCTCCTGCGTGGCAGCACCAGCCAGTACCACACTGGGCCAGCACGGGGAGCTCCCCTGGGGGCTGGGTAGTATTTGGGGTGGGGGTTTCCTCACCTCTGTGTCACTGGGGTCTGTTGCTCCATCACCACATGCTGGCAGCCCTGTGTGCTCCCCTTGCCCACTCCAGCCCCTTCCCAGCCCCACACCTCCCCTCACCCGTGTCAGACCAGTCCAGCTGCTGGTCCCCAGCTGGAGCCACAAGGCCCTTGGCTTCACCAGCACAGCACTGCCCCTTTTCCTGCTCCAGAGACCCCTCTGGGGCCCCTCACCCTCCCCCCGGCCCCATCCCTGGCACGTCCTCCCCTGGAATTTGGCTTCCCCAGCCTGGGAGCGCCGTCACATCCCTCAGCCCTGGCTGTGGCATGGGAAGCTTCAGTGGCTGCCAGGCGTCTGCTGCAGCAGGGCGGAGGAGAGGGGTGCTGGCTGGGATATCTCCTTACAGGGGAAAATCCGGATTCCATGGCCTGCAGTCCCTCCCACATCGTGCCTGTGAGGCTCTCGCTGCCCTGGGCAAGAGGCAGCTGCACTACCAGAACCCCATCCCTGAGCTGGGGGTCCTTGAGGGCCCCAAGTGATGCTCAGCCAGGTTTGGGGTGTCTTGAGGGGCACTTCGGGGCTGAGCTGGGACTTGCTGGTGTTGGTGCCTCCAGATGGTGGCCATGGGGCACAGCCACGAGTGCCTGGGATGGCTCCATCCCCAGGATCCCCCAAACAGTGCTGGTGTGTGAGTAATGCCCGGGGGCACAGGAAACCTCCATCCTGGCAGGGAATTGTCACAGTGAGGCTGTTTCCTCCCTGCATCCACTGCCCCCCGTACAGCCCCATGGCACAGGGACGTGGGGGGCTGCCCCAATCCCCCAGCACTGGGGCAGAGCCAACCCTGCTGTGTGGGGGCCTCCAGGCCTCGGTGGCTGCCCCCCGGCTCGGGAGGGTCACCCTGTCCTGCTCTGCTGGCAGGATCCAGCCCTGCAGACACCGTGGGAGCTCGTGCTCAGGGGGCTCCCACGCCTGCCCCGACTGCCCAGGCATGTGGGGCTCAGCCTGGGGGTGGAGGGCACCCCAACTGCCTTGGCCCTGCACGTTGGTTCCCCCCTCCCCATCCTGTCGGATGTCCCCGGGGCCGGCAGCTGCACCGGACACATCCCCTGCGCTCTCCTTCCTGTGAGTTATTTCCAGCCACTGCCTGCACAGGAGTGTTTCAGGGCTCAGCACAGGAAGAGAGCGAAGGCCCAGCCAGGGATGGCTTTAGAGGAAATGGGAAAAAGAAAAGCCAGACCCCAAGGTTTGGTTGGTGGTTGGGTGCCCTCCCTGCTCAACTGCCTGGCAGAGCCACCCTGCCCACAGCCCCTGTCCCTCCTGGGCACACACACACGCAGGGGTAGGGGGACTTCCACCAAAAACATCCCACTGTGTCCCCAGCCTGAAGCCCCTCTGATGGCTTTTTCCCTGCCCTGACGGCTCTCAGTGCTCCCGTCTGCATCTCCCCTCCGTGTTTCGGGGAGCTGCCTCGTGGTTTGGCACAGCCCTGAGCTGGGTTTGGAGGGCACGGCAGCTCGGCCGGGCTCACGCCCGGGGGGTGGCAGTTGGTGGAGCCGCCCCCCCGTGCCCACATCTCCGAGAGCGCCGCTGCTCCCGGGCACACCCGGCACGGCCCGGGCACGGCAGCGCCTGCTGAGCCCCGCGGGTTTCGTTCCTGCCCCCGGCACAGGATCCTCGCCGCGACCCAGTTCTGCGGGCTGGGCCTGCCCTCTGCCCGGGCTTTCTCCGTGCCAGTCCTTGCTCCAGGCCAAGGCACGGCGGGATGATGGGCGTCTGCAGCCCCGCAGTGCCGAGCGAGCCGCAGGAAAACCTCCCGCCCGGCCACCACCGCCCGGCCCCGCCGGCCTTGGCGGGATGCTGCGCGCTCGGGATGTCCCCGCGTCCCCCGCGGGCTCAGGCGCTCCCAGCGCTCCGGAGCTGATGGAGCCGCCGGGGCCGGGGCCGGGCTCTGCCCTCCCCGGCGGAGCACGAGGAGCAGCAGCGGAGACTGTCGCGTCCTGGGACCGCGGGAGGCGACAGTGCCTGTGGACGTGCCACCCCGGCTGGCCGCGGCTTTGGACAGCGCAGTGACATCCCGAGTGGGAAAATCTCCGGGGTGCGAATCCTCCCCGGGGCTGCGGGGGCACCCAGGGACGCTGCGGGGACTCCGGCCCTCCGACACCCCCCTTCCCGGGTCCGGGGGCCGCTGCGGGGCTCAGTGGGGACTCCCCTCTCCGTGGGATCCCGCAGCCGAGGGGGCGGCACGGCCGGATCCCCCCCCGCCCGGACAGGGACCCACTCGGGTAAACAAGTGAGTAACGGGGCGGGTCCGGCCCCGACTCGGACCAGCCGCGGGTGCTGCGGCCACCGCCCGGGGGTCTTTGGGCACCGTACGGGGGGGCTGCGCCAGGGGAAGCTGCGGGGGTTGCGGGGGCGATGGGGCCGAGGCGCGACCCTCGCCCGGAGGGAACCCCGTCCTGAGCAGGGAGGGAACGGAGAGGGACGGGCCGGTTCCGGGGGGAGCGGCGAGCCCGGCCCTTCCCCCGCCTTTTCCCCCCGGGGCTGAGCCGAGCCGGGCTGAGCCGAGCCGGGCTGAGCCGAGCCGGGCTGAGCCGAGCCGGGTGGGTCCCGCCGACAGCGAGGTAGGGCCCGGGTCTGCGCGGGAAGGGGAGCGTTGGAGGGGGGCGAAGGATGCGGGGGTGGGGAGGCTGAGGAGAACAAAGAGTCCAGAAGTCTGGGATGGACGGACAGAGAGACCGGGAAGGATGGACAGAGACCGGGATGGATGGGCAGACCGAAGGGCTGGGACAGACAGACGGAGGGGCTGTGCGGGGACCCGTGCGGGGCTTTCGGCTCTCTCGGGGCTCTCCGGACACTCGCGTTCGGCTCAGCCCCCCAGTTCACACACAAACCGAGGATCGGGTGCGTTTCGGGGAAGGGGAAGCAGAGACCCCACGACGGGGGACGAAGACGTGGCATCCCCCGCTGTCTGTCCCCGGGGCCAGGGGTCCACGGCGGGCACGTCCCAGGCTTCCCCTCGGCACCGGGATTTGCTCTGGGGGCTCCCCTGTCGGGACGGGTCCCCTCCGGCCGCCCCCGCCCGACCCCATGTGCCGCCCGCTCCGCTGGGAAGAGCCGAGAAAGAGTCAGGAAAGGACCGGGAAAGGGCCGGGAAAGGAAAGGGCTATTTCGGGAGGCCGGGGTGGACAGCCCAGCGACCTTGACGCCCTCGAGATGCTGCGATGCTGCGAGAGGGGGCAGCCGCGGAGGAAGGGGGGAGGGGGGGGAGACTGGTCCGACCCCCCCAGGGCTGCCGAGCCCCGGCTCCTGCACCCAAGGGCACCCAGGGTGAACCCCCAGCCACTCCTACCCGGCTCCAGGGCCCCGGAGGTTGGGATGGGGATGGTGCCAGTTGTCTCCAAGCCAGCCCAGAGGTTTGGGACCTCTGCCCTGGGCCACAGCAGGGACAGGCGAGGAACCACCTTGTGTGTCCCTGCTTCCCAGGAATGTCCTCTGTCCTGGGTGTCCCGGGGATGCCCCAGCTCCGGGCCAGGCCAGGGCAGCTCCCCCAGCAGTGGGACCCTGGGATGACTGTGGGTCCAAGGAGGGACACTGGGACCCTGCCAGGTCCCCATTCCCGTGGTGTGGCCATGGCCATTCCTGTCCCAGCTGATGACCTGGAGCTGACCTGCTGCCCCCAGAGCCCCACCCTGGGGGGTGGGTGGCAGTGGGACCATGTCCTTCCCTCACAACCATGGGACCACCTGCAGCAGGCACATCAGGCTGTGGAGGCAGAAGGGATCCTGAAGGGAAAGTCCTTGTCCTGGAGAGGTCCAAACAGGGAGGAAGGACTGGCCACGCAAAGGAAAAATGTAAATGTCCTGCAGCACCTTCTGCAGGGTTACCCTGCCTGAGGCCAAACGCCAAACCCAGTAGCAGAGCCCAGGCCGAGGGTGCACATGGGGTATGGGGGGAGTCACTGTTGCCTGGTTTGGGGGTCTCTTTGCAGGTGTCTGGTGCCCCACTGCCCAGCAAACCTCCCCTCCCAGCTCCCTGCCCTGACCTGATCCTGCAAGCCCCGTGCCCAGTCCTGCCTGAGGAAGCCTGGGGAAGGACTGGGCTGGGGCAGGAGCAGATAAGGAGCAGCCTCCTGCTCCCCAACAGCCTCTCGCCTTTCCCTCGGATGTGGCCAGGGCAGGAAGCAGTGCCTGGTGGAGGCAGGGCAGCCATGGTGCATCTGCAGCAGAACATCAACCCTCGGGCTCAGGCGGTGCCAGGAACCCCATTAGTGCCCGCAGCAGCCCCCCCTCCCTTGCTGCTGCCAGTGCCTCGCAGCCTCCAGCAGCACATTCGGGTGCAGCTCCTCTCCACGGGATTTTACCCCAGCGCCCCTTGCAAAACCCTTGTTCCCATGGGATCTCTCTGGGAGGGTTTTGCCAGGTCCAGAACCCCAAACCCAAGTGCTGCCCTTGGGGGGAGAGGGGGAGAGGGGACTCCCCCCGCCCCACATGATCCCTTTCCCGGAGGCGCCGCTGGTTTGCTCTGGCACTGCTGGGGTTCCCTCTCTCGCAGCCCTGCGGCTCTTAAGTGGCCCCTCGTTAATATTTGATTCCCTCTAAGTGCAGTGCCCGGCTGAGGTAGCTCTGAGCAGGGGGGCCTGGCTGCTCAGTCCCCAAGCCCACCCCGGGGTCCCCCCCTACCCTTGGGGTCCCTGCCTGGCTGCACTGGG